ATCTGTACTTCTTTCTTGGGTTCGTTATGTCTTCCAGAGTTTAGCGCACAAATTTATTTATTTATTTAATTTATTTAAATACTTTTAACCTGCCTTTCTCCTTAAAAAGGACACCAGGCAGCTTACAACAGATAAAAAGACAGTATTTAAAGTTAAAAACAGTATATAAATACTAAAAAGGATTTTTAAAACATAGTACAGTACTAAAAACAGAAGCAATACCAAAATACATTCAAAGCAGTAAGACACAACAATCCATTAAAAAAACACTCAGGGTGCCAGTTGAAGCTAAAGGTCTTCTTGGCCTGCTGGCGGAAAGAGAGCCAAGACGGGGCCTCCAGTGGCAGGGAGTTCCAGAGTCCAAAGGAACAACCACTGAAAAGAAAGCCCTCCCCTCCCGGGTCCCCACCAGATGCGCCTGTAAAGGTAGACGGGCCTATGGCTCCATCTGGCAGACCCCTAGAATTTAAAGTATGATCAGGAATCTTTAAATTCCTTGTGAAAGGCTTCCGACTGAACTACCCTGACCAGCTGTAAAGCCTTCTAGGTCTTCCTTTACAACCTTAACGGCTTCATCACGAAAGCTTCCCCAAGGTTCAGAAAATGTAGTGCAAGGCACACTCGGATAAAAAGATTAAAAGGATCAAACAAATATCATACTAAGACAACATAAGCAACACCAACAAACACCTTTAAAAGCAACAAAGGACAACCATCCATTAAAAAAATAAACTCTCTCAGGCAGGCAGTCATAACGGGGAAGGCTTGCCTGAAGATAAAGGCCTTTGGACAGCCAAGACGGGGCCAAGTTGGCCACCAGTGGCAGGCAGTTCCAGAGTCTCAAGGAGCAGCCACCAAGAAGAAGGGACTCATCTCCTGGATCCCCACCCAAGGGACCTGTGAAGGTGGCAGGACCGAGAGAAAATTCCCCCCTGAGGATCAGAATACGTACTCAGTCAGGCTCACCAAGGGAGATGTGGTCCTTCAGAGGGCTTTATTGGTTAGAACCACCTTTGAATTCTGCCCAGAAATGGACTGGAGGAATAAGGTCAGAATAATCTGACTTTATTCTGAAACTGCATTTTATTACAGTCCGTGTGTGTATGGTGTGCGGATGTGTGGCAAGTCTGAAAGGGCTTCCATGGGTATGTGAGATCGTTTAGAGCTGGTTTGACCAGTGCTTTCCACCAGTGAGTTTTTGTGATCAAGTGGGGATTCGAACCCAGGTTTCCTGAGTCCCAGTCTGACACCTTCTCCACACCCATCCAGACATTTCTCCTTTTTGTCTCCCTTGCCTAAGGTTGATGGAATGTGTAGTCCCACAAAATCTGAGCGGCCGGCAAAATCTGTGCCAACCTGTTCTGTAACAGGCCTGATGAAATGGAACTGGTGCCATCATCCTCTGAACTTCCTGCATTGGCCGAGCATTGAAAGCATGAAGCCTTGAGAGCAGAGAGGAGCCTCAAAGGGGTGGGGGACGCTCCCAGAGGGCCACCGAAAGCCACATTTCAGGTTGGGAGGAAGGCTGACAGAATCCAGACTGAGGCCCCAGAATAGTTCGGAAGGGATCAGAGACCTTTCCCAAGGCGTCCTTCCTCTGGGAATAAAAGGCGTGAATATTATCAAGGCCCCTTGGGCTAAGCAGAATGTCAAAAAAAACTCCTTAATGGTTCCCATCCCTTCGTTTCCACCCCATGCTCCTTTGGGGTTCTCCTTTCTGAGCCAAAGAGCCCCTTCTTTCCTCCTCTAATAATCATGTGCTCTCAAGTCAATTCTGACTGACAGCAACTTTTCCAGATCCTCCGAAGTGGTTTTGCGGCGGGACTGCGTCCAGTTTGCCCAAGGCCACCCAGGCTGGCTCTTCTCCTGGAAGGCCCTGGGGGAGGATTCGAACTCCCAACCTCTGGCTCCAAAACCAGAAACCTCAACCACAGAGTGATCCAGCAACCCCCCCCCAAAAAAACTCTCTCTCTCACTCACTTGGCTGGCTTGCGCATCATCCTTTGGGTTCGTTGGTCGATACGCCATCATCCCCTGCTGGCGGCATTGATTCCTCCTGCCTGCTCACCCCCCCCCCACCGCCAATTCCCACGGGCTGTGAAACAGAAAGAGAACATGCCGAGGTGGAATAAAGAAATATTCGAAGGAATCCCATCATCGCTCTAAGAGGAACCAAAGCTTTGTTTGCTGTTAGTAAAGAAGTTAAGCCAGGTGCGTGTTTGCCGCTTTTGTAAAGCTGGCTGGTTTTCTCCGGGGCTGACTCCGGTCATCTCATAGCAGGAATTGAGCACCGCAGGCGTATGGCCGATGGTTTCATGTCTGTGATACGGAGCCAGCCAATGGAGCAACTCTGGTCAGCTAGGGGTGTTTTGTCCCTTTGCTGGTCCTGGAGGTGTGGTGCTCTGGGGCCAAAGGGGCAGTGGTGGGGAGGGAGGAAAGGGGCAGTGTGGAGCAACGTGGCCACATCTATGGCTCAGGAAAATGCTCCTGTTACGACTTTACAAAGATGGGTATGTGAGTGTGTCTACCAGGGGCGGCCCCGCAGTGCGGAGAGGTAGCAGTCCATCGCGGTGCAAAACTGGAAGCAGAGAGGCACACTCCATGCCCCTCCCCAGGTGGAACATAGTTCGTGTCTCCTTTCTCCCCTATTTGGATTAAAGAAAAAGCAAAACCTTCACGCGCAACGAACTTGTTAAGAATCGGGTTCAGTCTGCTTGTGATCAGAACTGAACAACATGTACAGATAATCCCATATTTGGGATGCAAGCCAGTGAGAGACAGGACTTTTATGTGCTTAACTCCTCAAACCCTGGATCCGAATGCTTGTCTTTGGAACCACTTTTAGCGCTGAATGAAGGTTGCCACATTTTCACCTGGAGAGGCTCCTTGTCTTTCAGCACCTATCTATATATATCAAGTGGGTGCAATAAGGGCCGCTTTAGATGTTAACTCCCCTTGCTGAATGCAGGGGGTTCAAAAGAAAGATAATCCTGTTTCACTTTAAAAAGAAGGGGGGAGATGTACCAAATTGTTAAATACTTTATGCCTTTTATGCTTGGTTATATGTTCTTTCATGAGATGCCAAATACTATTTTTAAGATTAAATTAATCTATGCTCTTGCGTACAACCTGCTCATCTGCAAAGCAGTAAAGTATTTGTATCTGTAAATACCTTAAAATTCAGCAGTGTGATTTAAAAATTAGATGCAAGAGAGTCTTTTATACAATTGGTGGAGAATTTCATTTTGGTTCCTCAGTGTGTTAAGTATTTGGGTATAGTGCCCGAGGTTGGGAGTTCGAATCCCCCACTATGTGCCTTCTGGGAAAAGAGCCAGCCTGGGTAGCCTTGGCCAAGTGACACCATCCCAGGAGAAGGGAAGGGGGATCCACTTCTCCCTGGAAAAACCCTGGAAAAGGTCACCATCAGTCAGAACTAACTTGATGGCTCGTGTTGGTTGTTGTTGTTCCCACTTACCCCGTTTCCCCGAAAATAAGACCTAACCAGAAAATAAGCCCTAGTAGGACTTTTCAGGATGATTGTCATAGAAGCCCTACCCCTAAAATAAGCCCCATGTTAAGTGAAACCCCGCCCTCCACCCTTGTGCAGCAACCAGAAGAAGAGGACCGGACTGTCTTTGAATAAATGTAGATAAAAAAAATATCCCTGAAAATAAGCCCTAATGCACTTTTTGAAGCAAAAATTAATATAAGACCCTGTCTTATTTTGGGGGGAACACGGTAGATGTAAGGGGTAGTGAAAAAGAGTGCAGAGAGCCATTTGAGGAAGCATGAAATCTATTATCTTTCTGGGAGGAACTTCATGCTTCATGGGACAGTGGGGGAATAGCAAACAGAGGAACTTAAGTAAACTGTCTAACCATGTCAGCCTTTGGCAGCGCCAGCAACAAAAGAAATCTTTAATACCCACAAGTTCTGTTTGTCCTGAGCATTTCTGGACACAGTCCCTCCCTCCCCCCCCCAGTATATTGCACGCACATCTTTCAAAACCCAGGCCACCTAAAACTTCCAAGTCTTTAAAGATGCCGATAAGCTATTTGTGATGTCAGGAAGCCAGAGATCTTTTCAGGCTTGCAGAGGAGGGTCTAGATTAAGGGTGAGTCTCTCTCTCTCTCTCTTTCTCTCTCTCTCTCTCTGTGTGTGTGTGTGTGTGTTTGATTCGTTTGAAACGTGGCGCTGGAGAAAGAGCATGGTGGGTACCGCCAGAAAGACAAACAAGGGGCACATCAAGCCCGAAATATCTTTGGAGGCAAAAAGATTAAAACTGGGCACATTGTGAGAAGCCAAGACCTGTTGGGAAAGACAATAATGTTGCAAACAAAAATTAACGGTTTGGACCATTTCATGGATTAATTAATATCTGACCAATGTGTCTTTGAGTTTACAGATGTCCACTGGTGCTTATAGACTGTACTAGTCACATATCATTGACGTATCTCCACTTGGCTGGTGTAGCTGACTTTAGGCTTCTCTTTTCTTTAATTCTTTTAACAACATGTTCAAGACATTCCTTTCTTTACGTTAGTGAAAGGTCAGGGCTTGAGCCTTACAGGTTTCTCAACATCTGACATGGTGAGCTAATACAAAACGGTAGTACTGAATACTCAGTACGGCTAGGCAGAAGCATGACTGAAAACAAACTTCTTAACAGTCATGCTGGAAAAAGTTGAAGGCAGAAGGAAAAGAGCAAGATGAAATACAAGTTGGATTGACTTCCTAAAGGAAGCCACAGGCTTGAGTCTGCAGGAGCTGGGGGGCAGGGGTTTTTGGAGACGTTCATTCACAGGACGGGCCATAGGTGGGAGGTAACTTGGCAGCAGGTAACAACAACAGGGAAGACTCAAAGGTGTGATAGTTCCAAGATACACATTTTGTATTTACCTTTTCTCTCCCTTGGTGGGATGGCTTTGTGTATCACAGCCAACACGTCTGTGCTTTCATTATATCTTTGATAACTCTGTTGCCCGTTGAAACCAAGGATTCCCTACAATCAACATGCTGAAAAGCAGATCTCGGCCTCCTTTTTACGAGAGATTGATTTCTCCTGTGTGTCTTTCTTTTGTCCCCCCCCCCTTTTGTTGACCAGGTGCTCTGACTTGCTCACCCTTCTCCTGAGCACGAGGAAGAGCCAAGAGGAAGATGTGGCTGTTGGAGAAGATCCGTGGTTCGGTGGAGAACGGCAGCAACGCCCGGGGCAACGACTCTGCGGATAAGCAATCCAAGGGTCCTTTGTACAGTAATGTCCTGACGCCTGATAAGATCCCGGATTTCTTCATCCCGCCCAAGCTCTCAACCGTGCCGCCCGAGGCAGAAGGAGCAGAAGGGAAGACCAAACCCAACCTGGGCACCTCATCTTCGGAGCAGAACCTGTCAGGCCGCAAGCCCCAGCGCAGCCCACGCTTGCCGGCCAAGGCGGCTTCGGAGAGCAAGAACCTCTTAAAAGTTGCCAGTCGGCACATCATCCAGATAGAGAGCGCTGATGAGTGGATGTCCGAGGAGGACTTCAGCACCAACGCGGACCCCCAGTCGCAGACGGCCATGTCGCTGCCCTATGTGCCCAAGGCCCAGACATCCTATGGCTTTGCCACACTCATGGAAAGCCCCCACACGCGCCGCAAAGAGTCGCTCTTTCACAGCGAGCACACCAGCCTGTGTCCCTCCCAGTCTTCCTCGCCAAGTTCCCAACGGAAGTCTCCCTCAGGAGGGAACAAGACCGATGGGGAAAGTGGCCACCTCAACCCCTCAGACATCAGCATGTCCCTCATGAATCCTTACCGCTACTTCAGCGGCGGGGAGAGCGACACCTGCTCGTCGGCCGAGTCCTCTCCGTTCGGTTCCCCTTTGCTCTCGCGATCGGTGTCCCTTCTCAAGATCTTCAGCCAGGAAAGCCAGTCCAAAGTCATCAAACTGAAACACTCCGTGGCCCGTAACAGCTCTCTGTCCACCGACGACAGTTCAGCGGACACCAGCCCCAGCTCCCAGCGGCGCATGCGCTGCGCCACCCCTCCGGCGGGCAGCGCAGCAGGGGGTGTCCAGCAGCCACCTCTTCCTCCTGTGGATGCCCAGGACCGGCTTCACAAAGAGCACACCATCAACTTGAACAAAGGGGGCAGCATGCGCCTGGCCGTGGAGTACAACCCTTCCAAGGCCCGCCTGCGCATCCGCGTGGTCACCGCCGAAGACCTCTACGACAAGCACTGTGATGCCCGGAGCATCAACTGTTGCGTGGCCCTCTACCTGAATCCTGGCAAGCTTCAGAAGCAACGGAGTACCATCATCAAGAACAGCCGGAACCCCATCTTTAACGAGGATTTTTTCTTTGATGGCTTGGGCATGGCCAACATGAAGAAAATGTCCCTCAAAGTCAAAGTGGTGAACAAAGGCAGCAGTCTCAAACGGGACACGCTGATGGGCGAGAAGGAGATCCCGCTACGTTCCTTGATCCCTCTTTCGTAAACTGGTCTCGAACTCTTGCCGCGCATGTCTCGTCACCCTCCCGTCCTGCACTCAGTTGGTTTCCCTGTCCGAGAAACGGGAAGGGATGGGAGGTGGCCCCAAAGGTTGGGCCAACAATGGTTAATCACTGTCCTCCCCCAAGCTGTTCTTGTTGCATGTAGGGGTTGTGGAGGGATGGGTGCCCACTGTCTGTAGCATGGCCTCTCCGTGGCTTGTGGGATGTGGCCTCCGTTTGACGGGCTGGTAGAGCTGTCCCCGGCTTTCGAAAAGGCTGTGATGTTGACAAGCAACGACAACAGTTCAGATGGACTCTGTCCATACAGAAAGCATGGGGTGGGAGGGATAGGGCCAGAATAAGACAGGGAAATATTCCTTAAGTAAGGTTTTCTAGGGAGCAGAAACCTGTATGAGCACCACAAGTGTTTGCTCGGTACTCACTTCTCTGTCTTACAGAGGCAGGTTGGCGAACTTTTTTCCAATTTGCGTGCGATTCAGTCCCACCATCTAGCAAAGTGATGCAGAAGAAGCTCGCTAGCTCTGAGTCTTCACGGATACTCCCTCAATTCGTGCTTCCTGAACCAATACTTGAGCAGAAATGTTTTTTTTTCCTGAATTTCGCCAAATGACGGTGTTTGAGTTCAGCAAGTGAAAACGTAACAAAAATTAATTCTGTTTGGCAAATCCATAGAGAAAGCAAGCATGCAATGGGCGTATAAAATGCACGTATTAAGAAAAATGCATGTGAAGATTTGTAGGAGTTTTCATGTAGCTTCAAAAAAAATTCCAATGGCATGAGCAAAAGATGGGAAAGAAGCAGATAACAGAAATCTAGACTGCGGGCTCAAGCGTATGTTGGTAGTCTCTGACTGCTGTCTGGGAAGTGAGAAGGGGCCAATTCCAACCTTTTCAAACCCGCATGCTTGCATGCACGCACGTGCGCGCGCGCGCGCACACACACACACACACAGAGTGCTGACCTTCACTGTGCAAATCCGAGTTTTCTCAAGGAAGTGTTACGAACTCTGTGACCTCGGGGAGGTCAAGAAGGCCTTTAGCCCCTCGAGTTACAAAGCTGCAGCACTGTTAAAGCTGCAATAGGTTATTTTATATGATTATTTACTGTATATCCTGCCTTTCCTCAAATAAACACTAGGGTGGTGGGTCCATGGCTGGCCTCTTCCCCATGGTGGGCTCACAAACAAACTTGTGAGGCAGGGCAGACTGAGAAGGAGAGAGAGGGGTGGGGTGGTGGGATGGGGAAGTGAACCAAAATCAGCCAGGAAATGGAAACCTGAAAGCAAAGTGCTTTAAAGTATTCGGGGGGGGGTTACAATTTAATTATGCAGACTACAACTTGCCCCTGTCTCTCCCCCCTCCCCCCCAGTGAGCTGGGTATTCAGTTTGCTGACCTTGGAAGGATGGAAAGCTGAGTCAACCCTGAGCCAGTTACCTGAGCCCTGGGGATCGAACTCAGGTGGTGAGCAGAGTCTTCACTGCAGTACTGCAGTTTAACCCCTGCACCACAAGTGCAGTTTCTGCGCTTTCCCCGCCAACTCTCTTCATCTGAGAGAAGACTTTGGGACAAGATGGGTGTTTAAGACCCCAGTTTCAAAGTGTCATAAAAGTACAGCAAACTCATTTGTTTTTATTATGTTGTTATTACCACGGTGGGGAGACGTGCTTATGGAATTCCCATGCCCATGTTCCACAACCATTTGTCTCACTTGGGCTGCGCTATGCTATGGATGGGTCATGGCTAGAAGCTATAGTTGGGGGGGGGAGGATTCCATTATTTTTTTATTATTATTAAAGATCCCAGAATTCAACAGCCAGCATTCTGGGTATCACCACTCAAAAACAACTTTTTTTTTCAAGGTTTATCTTTTATTTCTTTTTATACAAAAAAAATACACAAAAGAACTCATACATAACAACAAAAATACAAAAAAGACTTACAAGTAATAGTGCTTATTATAAACTAAATTCTAATGTGCCCCCCATACCCACGGGACTCTATTTACTATAATAATTTTTTTTTCTTACAGATTACCTCTCCAAAATTGTATTGAGTATTCTTTAGAGGCTTTCCCCCTTCCTTTCACTAACACAAATTCCACAGATTTACCCCAAATATCATAGAAATTGTTACAACTTATTTCCCCTCTTTTTATTTTAAGTTCCCTAGTCAATTTATCATTTAATGCAATGTCCCATACTTCACAATACCAGTCTTCAATTTTAATATCATTCTTGTCTTTCCAAAATCTAGCTATTAATATTCTAGCACCTGTCATAAAATTAGTGATTAATTCTTTCGAGTGATGGTCCAGATTTGTATTATCAAAAATTGACAATAAAGCAATTCTGGCATTAAAATCAATGTCTTTACCAAATATATCACACATTTCCTTAAAAATCAATTCCCAAAATTTCTTAACCACTTTACATTCCCACCACATATGAAAATACGTACCAATTTCCTCATCACATTTCCAACATGCTTTGGGGTATGTTGGATTTATTATATTCAATTTTACAGGAGTCAAATACCACCTTAGACAGATTTTTTAAAAAAATTCCTTTATTCTTGTTGACATTAATCTTAACACTCTCATCCTCCACATTTTTGTCCAATCCTCTATTTTAATTTCTGTTTTTAAATCATTTTCCCAAATTAATTTTAAACCTTCTATTCCCCATTCTTTTTCCTCTTGTTCCAAAATTATATTATATATTTTACTTACTATTGCTTTCAAAATTGTATCTTGCATATCTTCATGTGATGACAGAAATTGTTCGTACTAAGTAAGTTCTCTACATTTACCACTAGTTTTCAACCAATCCTTTGTCCAGGTGTCTAACTGAATAAGATTATACCATGATAGTTTATTAGATTGCAGTTTAGACATAATTAACTCCTTCGATCTCATGTTACCCATCCAGTCCTTCAATCTTGCAACCCTTTTATTCTTAAATAGTTCTACTAAATCCTTTAAATTTGTAGGAAACTTTTCTGTCTCAGTCACGTTTTAATGGTGAAGTTAAGGGACAAAACTTCTCTTTATATTTATTCCAAATATTTAACAGGTTTCTTAAAAAGGGGTACTCAAAAACAACTTTGACTGTCTTTCAGCCTCACTATTGCCCACGAGCACTGTTTCCCCTGCTTGCTGGGTCCTTTTTCATGAGAGAGGAAGAGGTCTGAGTTCTTTATTGACCAAAAAGCACCACAAAGGGTTCATAGAATCATGGCGTTGGAAAGGGGCCAGAAAGGCCATGGAGTCCAACCCTCTTCTCGACGCAGGAATCCAAATCAAAGACTGAAGATTTGACCAAATCTGACCAAAGATGCTTTGGGTTTCATGTCCTGGTTATTAACTTTTCACATTCAACTGGTTGGCCCCTATTATGAATAGAATTCTGGGCTAGAGAAGCCTTTGATCTTATCTAGTTCCTGTGGGCAGGGAGGAGGTGCTCTTTCATGTTTATGGACTACCGTTCCCAGTTTCCTCCCCAAATCCTGGGGATTCTAGCCAAGGAACCCAAATCTGGACATCTAGATTCTGCCTGTTCTAGACAAGGCAGTCTGAGTGACTTCCCAACGCCATCAGCTTCTCTTCCCTTTGCTTCTTTGGAGTTGTAGCTGTTTGGGAGGTGCCACCTACAGCGCCTAAGGGGCAATGAGACTGTGACTCCCAGGAAGCCCTGGGCTGGTTTGCTTGCATTGAAACAAACCAACAACAGGAGGCAAAGGCCAGAGTACCCGGCAGTGCTGGGAAGTCACGTGCAAATCTGGGTTGGTGGGCTGGCGTTCCCAGAATGCTTGGGGACTGCCGTCCGAAAACACGAAAAGGCATTTTGTTCAAAGAATCATAGAATCATAGAGATGGAAGGGGCCTATAAGGCCATCAAGTCCAACCCCCTGCTCCGTGCAGGAAGCCACTATGGCTGTTTTGATGCTCTTATGTACTGTACTTAGGACTTCCCACATGCCAGCCATGCATCCGTGGCCAGCAAATTATACTCGGTAAGATTCTTTGTTCTTCTTATGCTGTATTTTTCTCTTCAGAGTAGCTATGTCTCTGCAGGGTTTTAGACCTGGAGTGGCCAGTATCAGATATGGACTCTTCTGCGTGGAAAGCATGCTTTCTACCCCTATCTGTTTACATGTTTGCTTGCAAAGAGATACACCCAATAATTTTTCTGTTCTCTTGCTTTCCCTGATAGTCAAGACAGGCTCTAGTATTAAGGAGTCTTATCTCTGATACCACCACTCTTTCTAATTTTGGTGTTTCCAACTCTTTGGGAATTCTTGCACTTATTTATTTGAGCTGTGCTACTGGAATACTCTCCTCGGCCCCAATTTTTCTAATTTTTGCCCCAAGTCCCTGTTGTCTATAGAACAAATATAACTCTGATGTAGGAGTCCCTTCAAAGACATGCACATGGAGACTCAATGTGGTTGCTTGGGAAGGACTAGAACTGCATGCTGTTCCAAGAATGGGAGATCCATGAAGTCGGAAGGCATTCAGAAGGTCCTTGAGTGAAAACCCCTGCTCCCTGCAGGAATCCAAATTAAAGTGGAAATGACAGAGGGTGGTCTAATTTTCTTTTGAAGGCCTCCAGCACTGGAGCGCTCACCATCTCCAGAGGTAGTTCTGCTGTCGTACTGCTCTAACAGTTAGGAAGTTTTTTTTACAACATTTAGCCAAAATCCGACTTTCTGTGGATCGAGCCCCATGTTTGCTGGGATGATCAAGAACAGATCCTGCCCCTCCTCTGTAGGACAAGCTTTTAAGTTTTTGAAAAGTGCTATCCTATCACTCCTCAGTCTTCTTTTCTCCATGCTAAACATGCCCAGTAGTTTCTGTCTTCCCTCCCAGGGCTTAGTTTCCAGTTCCCTGATCCTTCTTCTTGCCCTCTTCTGAACTTGCTCCCTTTCGTCAGCATCCTTCTTAAAGGTTGGTATCCTTTGGACATAGGACTCAAGATGAGGCCTAACCAGTGCCCATTAGAGGGGAACTTTCACCTCATGGGCTTTGGAGACTAGACTTCTGTTAATCCATCTTTAAATAGCATTGGCCTTTTTTGCAGCCATATCACACTCTTGGCTTTTGATCCCCAACAATTCCAAGTTCCTTCTCAAAAGCTCAAAGACACTCTCTTTTTTTGGTTCTTACAACTTTGATGTTCCTGAGCCCCATGGATGAAAACTGGTCTTTTAAACGCAGGCTGGTCTGACCTTGTGGCGGACTGTTTAGCCTCTCTGTGGTGGGAAGCTCCAAAAATCATGGAGATTTTGTCTTTTTGATCAACAAATAACCACTCTGTGTTTTAATCTATGCTGCATGACTCTGAAGGAATGGCATAGTTTGTGGGTGCCTGTTGTGGATGCCACGGTGGGAAGTGCGGGCCCCTCTGCTTCTCTGCCAGCACGGATGCGTAACACCTCATCCTTTGCTCTCCACCATACTCTCTGTTCCAGGTACCAGATTCTGTAGGCAGCAAACAACGGCACCCTTGCAGGATCAGAGCATCATTTAAGAAACAGAGAGTAGAAATAATCAGAACCCAGCCGAAAAGGACACAAATAAGGCATGGGCCTTCTGATCTGCCCTCACCACTTGGGCTCAATTGCTTGGCTAAAACATTCCTAGCAACTTCCCGGAGGGGAGGAAGCTGCAGTTTACCCATCTGCCTCCTTTTGCCATTCATGGTGCTCCATTGATGCATCAAGGTTTTCCAGCCTGGGTTGCAAACCAAAGTACGAAGGAACCGTTGATGGGCTGCCAGCTCCAATTATTAAGCTGGCCGGGGATATCCCATAAATCAGAAGATTATTCTGCTCCTCGTGGAAGCATTTGCTTCCAGCGACGGATAAAGTGATGCCGGTGCTTTCCCTCTCCTTAATCTCTCTTTCTCTGCTGAC